CTTGCCCCGATCGTCTGCAACACTGAAGTGGGTGTCCGAGTCCCCTTGCCTGCTTGCCCTGCCCTGCCTGCCCTGCCCTGCCCGCCCTGCCCTGACTGGCAATCCTCTCCCTGTGTCTCTCTCTCTCTGTCTGTGTTGAAGGGTCCGAGGAAACCAGACGCAGCCAGTCCTTCCATCTGCGCACGCGCAGCTCTCCTGCTGCTGTGTCAATTTCACTCACTGAGTGAGTGAGTGAGGGAGGGAGGAGGGAGGGAGGGAGGGAGGAGGAGGCCACGTGTATCCCTGGGGAAGGTGAGAATATGATTTATCAGCAATCACCAGCCCATTCACTATAATAATTATAATAATCCTTACATTTCATATAACGCCTTAGCACGTCTTCAAGACAACAATTTAATAATCTAATAATAATCCTTGCATCACATCTTCGAGATGTCTCAAAGCGTTTCACAGAATATACTGTAAAGTGAGTTGACTGTGTATTTTGTGGGAGAAACGCAGCAGCCAGTTGTGCATAACTGTGTCGCACAGACATTGTGGGATTGAGTGACCCAGTTTTTTTTTGAAGGGCTTATTACCCCGGGAAAGTGATCCACCAATCAACTAACAGCCGGATTCCTACTTACTGCTGGGTAAACAGAGGCATGTGGTGTAAGGAAACTTGCCTAAAGTTCACCGTGCCCGGGAACCCAGGACCTCTCGCTTGCAAGGCAAGCCATCTAACCAATACACTACAGGACTCAATTTATAAACTTGCATTTATACAGCACCCATCACGCAGAGTAGCATCCCAGAGTGCTTGATGGTCAGTGGCAGAGCACAACAGCGAGCCAGGGGGAGGTCGAAGAGGAAGGTTTTCAGGTGTGATCAGAAAATGGGGAAGAAGGGGCAAGGCGGATGGATAGAGGAAGAGTGTTCCAGAGTTTCGGACCATAGTGGCTGAAAGTGCAGCCATCAATGGTGAACGGAGGAGCAGGAGGCCAGAGCCAGTCAAGCGGAGGCAGCATGTAGTGGGGTGGGGGGTAAGCAAGTCGGAAATGTAGAGAGGTGCCAGGGCATGAAGGAATTTGCAAACGAGTGTGAGGATCTTGAAAGCAATCCATTCAGAGCCAGTGGAGCCTGGCTAGAACTGGTGTGATGAGGTACAGAGTTTAGTATGGGTGATTATGCGGGTGGCGAAGTTTTGGATTAACTGGATTTTGTGGATAGTGAACCTGGGAGACTGTGTTTTATAAGCACTGCATCAAATGCAGTGTGATTCAGCATGCAAACAGGCCATTCAGTCCAACTAGTCTGTGCCGGTGTTTATAATAATAATCCTTTCTTTTGATATAGCGCTTTGCACATCTTCTAGACATCTGGTGTTGGCCATGAGAGAAATTTATGTCCTGTAGCTCATTGGTTAGAGCAAATTCACCTCACAAATAGGTTCTATTCCAGGCAGGGTGAAATGTTGGGCAAATTTCCTTACTCCACATGCCTCTGTTTACCTAGCAGTAAGTAGGAAACCAGCTGTTAGTCAATTGGCGGATCACTTTTCCGGGGATAATAATCCCTAAAAAAAAATATTTGGTCACTCAATCCACAACTGTTTGTGGGACACTGCTGTGGGACAGTGATGATATCTGCAAGAGGGAGCATATAGATATTGAAAAGGAGGGGTCCAAAGACAGAACCCTGAGAAACTCTGTATGAGATGGTCCTATCAGAAATCTATCTAATTTATCCTTGGAAGAATCAACATTTTCTGCTTCCACTGTCTCCCTTGGGATCCTGTTCCATACATTTACTACTCGCTCACGGAAATAGTGTTTTCCACAGATTTGTTCTGAATTTACCTCCCTTCAATCGCAGGTTGTATGCATAGACAGCCGCAGCCAATTTGTGCACAGAAATGTCCCTCAAACAGCCAGGAGGTGAATTTATCTGGAGAGTTTCCGAATGAGACACTGCGTCCCTTCTGTGTTCCAATAATGCTCTGATATTCTTAATGTCCACTTCAAAAGGCAGAAGGGACCTGAGTTTAATATACCTCTGACAGTGCTCCCCCAGTACCACAATGGAGTGTCAGCCAAGGCTATGAGCTCAAAGTCCCAACGTGGGGCATGTACCCACAACCCTCTGACTTGAGAGCACTACCTGAGTACTATTAACCATTTTTTGAGGAACTGTTTTACTATCGGCTGTTTTCCACCCCTTGAATGATTCCAATAATAATAATAAAATAATCCTTGCATTGAATGTAGCACTTTTCATATCTTCAGATAGCATGGTGATGGGTTTCCGTATTTGTCAGACACCCGGCTGATCAAAAACCCAACAAAAAACAAAAATCCTCCAAAGAGAACCATATTGTGCTCCAAGCTATCGCAAGATTGGTTCACAAGAAGAAGGTCCTTTGGCCCACTTGAGCAAATCCTTCAATACCAAATGTTTTTTACCTGCAGGAATCTCTTTCAATCCTACATTCTCAATTTTAAGTTAAATACATAGTAATAATAATCCTTGCATTTGACGCAACACCTTTCAAGTCAGGAGAACATCTCAAAGTGTTTCACAGGATATGCTGGAAAAAAATGTAATTACTTGCATAAAGTGTACTGATGTATTTTTGTGGGTGAACATGGCAGTAGATTTATGCATGCCAATGTCCCACAAACAGCCATTAACTGAATGATTACTTTTATTGGGAGAACTGTTGGCCAGGACATCAAGAGACACTCCCTTCTCTTCTCCAAGAGAGCCGTAGAATCTTTAATGTCCACCTGAACAGGCAGATGGGGTCCTCGGTTATCCATATCTAGTGTGAAGGACCGAGCACCTCCGACAAACAGCATATCCCAGCACAGCACTGGACTATCAGCTCAAAAGCTCAATGTAGATCTTGAACCCACAACTTTCTGACTCGGAGACGAGAGTGCCAAGCTGATACGTTCCGCTAAAGTGGTGCCTACACCCATTTAATTGCAAAACATGTCAGGGGGGCATCTCAGGCTTAACAGTCCTGGCTTAGCATTGAACTTGGGTGGGAGGCAAGGGGGGGTGGGGAGGGGAAAGATGAATGAAAGAGCAATCAAAGAGGTAAGTCTTGAGATGGACCTTGAAATAGGTGAGGGAGTGGGGTGAATAGGAGGGACTCCAGGATGGAGATAGGCTGAAAGCCTATCAATGGCTCCATTTGACCTAGAAACAGAACAACACGTGTTCACATGTGAGAATGTTTCACAAAAGTAGTCACTGATGTTTTAAGAATACCAAAATATTTGTGTTTTTATATTAATAACAATAATCTTGCATTGGATATAGTACCTCAAAGTGCTTCACAGAATATACTGTAAAGCAAATTGTGTATTTTGTGGGCGAAACGCAGCAGTCAATTGTACACAACAGTGTCACACAGATAGTCATGGATTGAGTGACCCAATTTTTAAAAAAATGTTTAAGTGATTATTACCTCCTGAAAAGCAATGCACCAATCGACTAGGCAAACAGAGGCATGTGGACCAGGGAATCTTGCCTAAAGTTTTGCCCTGCTCGGGAATTGAACTCTGGTCCTCTTGCTTGCAAGGCGACTGCTCTGACCATTAAGCTACAGGACTCCGAAAGAGATAGGAGGTAGGTACCTTGTGGAAGGGAAAGCATAGTATTGTGGCGATATCAAGCTCTTACGTTCCTGACTTGCACATACTCAATTCTTTAAAACAAATCAGCCCCTTTTTCTCCAGTTTTCCACAGAACTGCTTTTGTCACAGTTGGAAAGTGAATCTGTCATCCTCAGCAAAGTGAGCCAACTCGCCTTTGAATGGATTAGTTCAGTCACCCACGAGACATCCCATCTGTGCCACATTTGTCCAAAGTTCTATAGCAGCCCCAACAGTGGCCTAAAGAACAAGAGAGCGAGAAAGAGAGAGAAAGAGACTCTGCCCTTCTCGAGAGAATATTGAGCCTCCCTGCATATTGTGGTGGGCCCCAACGTGATAAGGCACTATATAAAAAGCAACATAACAATATGTACTTATAGAGTGCCTTTCAGCTAGAATGAATGTCTCAAAGAACTTAAGCAGAATTTGCAATTTCCAATCACATTGATAGAAAAAATGCGCACTCTAATAACAATAATAATAATCCTTGCATTTGATCTAGCACCCGCCAATTTATTTCTCCCAGTGTGAGTGCGATCGGGAGCACATGACGGGGGTCACAGAAGTTCTGAGACTGACTTTGTAGAAACTGCTGACCTACACTGAGCATTGTGCTGTTACTTGGACATCCTCGTTCCTCGTTCCTGTTTTAAATCACATTTCCCTACCAAAGGTTTTCATTCCAACCACTACCCTTAATTACAACTATGCTTCCCTTTCCATCTAATCTACCAAAAGAGCAAGTTAGCACTTTAACCTGAACCTAATCTGACCTTGATGCAGTCCAGTTGTCATTACAACATAAAACAATACAAAGTTACACTTATACGGTGCCTTTCATGTTGGAAGGACATCCTAAAGCTCTTAAAAATCCTGGCTTGGAACCTGAGCTGGGAGTGAGAGCCAAGGGGGTTAGGGAGGGGAAAGGAAAGATGACCGAAAGCATGATCGAAGATAGGTGTTGAGATGCAGCATAGTCAAGTACTTTGAGACTTCCTCCCGAAGTGAAAGGCGCTGTAAAAAGCTAGCTGCGGATGGAATCTCCCACCGTGTGGGGTAAGGATTGAGAAACCATGGATATACATATCACACATGAAAGTGAGCTACAAACATAGAAGTCTTTGCAGAGCTGTAGAAATCTAGGACATAGTAGGTGGCCATTTGACCCAGTTTATTAATATTGGTGCATTTGCCCACCAATTAAGTCATCTATCAATAGTAGCATAGAACTTTACAGCACAAAATAAGGACATTTGGCATAACTTGTCTTTGTTGGCTCTTCAAAAGATTAATCATTTTAGTTCCATTTCCCTGTCTTTCCCCTTCACTTGACTCCTTTTTAGATCTGTCCATCTCCCTTTAGAATGCTAATATTGAATCCTGCCTCGGCCACCATACCCAGAAGGGCATCTTATCAGAGAATCAGAGAAAGGAGGCCATTCGGCCC